TCAGCTGTGGCCAGCAGCAGCTGGCACCATGGCCCCGGGCTTTCTGGGTGCATTTTCCACCCCCTCCGCCCACATGCTGGTTCCCTGCCCTTCCCGGTGGCCATGGGGCACGGCTCGGCAGCCCCCCACCGCAGCCTGGCTGGGCGGGTTGCCCCCCTACAATGTGGGGCGCTTTGAATCATTCTGACCCGCCAATCTCTCTCCTTGGCATTGGCTGTAGGCCGCCAAAGCCTGCCTAGAAGTAGTGAAGCTTGAGATGTAGATTGGGGGGCTGTGGGGTGGAGTCGAAGGGCCTGCGGGGTTGGGGGTGGGTGAGGGACTCAGCTGGGGTCACCGGGGAGGAGGTGGACGCAGCCCTTTCTGGAGCCTCGCAAACTCTTCTTGACGTTGGGCGTAGGCCGCTGAAGCCTGCCTGGTAGTAGGGGTACCAGAGCTCTATTTTGTGATGGGGTCGGAGAGCACACGTTGGCAGGGTTGGTTGGGGAGGATAAAGGGGTCAACTTGGGGGGTGCTGGGGAGGGGTTGTTGGTGGCCATTTTGGAACCCTCCCAATTTCTCTGTCCTTGAGTGTAGGCCCTGAAGCCTGCCTGGTAGTAGAGGTTCCAGAGGCCTAGTTTGCAAACCATTGGACGGGGTCAGAGAGCACATGTTGGCAGGGTTGGTTGGGCAGGATAGGGGTGTCAAGGGGGGGTGCTGGCGAGGGAGTATTGGCGGCCATCTTGGAACCCTCCCACCCTCCCAATCTCTCTCTTGGGGTGTAGGCCCTGAAGCTTGCCTGATCATTAGTCTCAAGGGGCTGCTAAGGGGTAGGCTCGTGGGATGGGGGAGACCCTGAAAGAGTTCATCTCTGTTTTTTGGGGTGGGGGGCCTGGTCCAGATCAGCAGCATCAAGAAGGTCCTGGAGGAGCTGAAGTTGCGGGTGGTGGAGGTGACGGATGACGGGGCCACCCTGGATGGCAGTGATGTACTCTTCACAGGTGAGCAGCCCTTGTGTGTGGGGGGGAGGGGTTGCAAGGTTATTGTAGGGGGGTTGCGGTATTGTTACCCTTACCTCTGTGCAGCAGCCACCACTGTCTGGCCACCCAGCTTTGAAAGCATGTAAGGGGGATATGAACGATATTGCCACCCTGATTTCTTCGCTGCTGCTGGCGGGATGTTGCCTTCAGAGCTGGGCATCCAGCCAACATTACCACCACCAGTTGCCCTGCTGTGAAAGTAGCGCAGAAGTAAGGGTGGCAATACCATGGGCCCTGGGGCTGAGTTGTGGTGGCAGAAGTGGGATAGCTGGATAGTTCGGCCTGGGAGGAGGGGATTGAGCTGTGGTGTTAGCGGTGGGATACCAGGCTAGGTGGGCCCAAAGTGGCTGAACTTTGGTCGCAGCAATGGGACACCAGGCTGGATGGGCCCAAAGGGACTGATCTTTGGTGGCAGTGGTGGGATACCAGGTTGCTGGGCCTCCTAAAATAATCTTGTGATCCCCCTGCAACTTCTTTTTGAGAAACGCCGGTCTTCCTTGTGAAATCTATATGGGTTATGGTAAAAACGCACACAAGATTTCACAGGAAGACACCAGATTTCACGGTTTGTGACGTGTGTTGCCTGGCTGTGAAGCTAGTAGGTCCCTCCTCATTTCTGAGAGCTGGGAATAGAACCCAGGAGTCCTGGCTCCCCACCCTGCCCCCATTGGTCAATTCCCCACTGGGCTGGTAGCTTGGGGAGTGGGGATACGTAGGGTAGCGACAGGGTCATCCGAGGGATCAACCCCAGCGTGGGTGTATCTGACTTAAATCTGTGGCATCTTGAAGGTCACTGAGTCTGGTCCCACCCTTTCCTGTCTCCTTACAGGTCGAGAGTTCTTTGTGGGCATCTCCAAATGGACCAATCACAGAGGGGCGGAGATGGTGGCGGATGCTTTTAGGGTGAGCTGGAATTTTGGCAGGGTCCGGGAGGGAACCCAGGAGTCCTGGCGCCCAGCTAATGCCCCCCTCTTAGTTTTTCGGTCCATGTGTGGAATAAATTTTGTGTGCACCAAAGCACGTGCGTAGGCGCACCACCAGTAGAAACACCTCTGGCTGGCTTTGGGCGCTCTGCTGATCATCTGGGCAGCATTTGAATCTCCCCTGGGTGGCCACTCAATCGCTCCGCGTACGGGGAACTCCTAGAGCTGGGAGCTGTGGGTCAGGACTGAGGGGCACCGGCAGAGCGGGGTTTCTATTTCTCACCTTTCCCTCATGTGCTAGGATTTTGCGGTCTCTACTGTCCCCATGGTGGGTTCCTCCCATTTGAAGAGCTTCTGTAGCATGGCTGGGCCGGACACAGTCGCTATTGGAAGCAGCGAGGCTGCCAAGAAAGCCATGAGGGTAATGGGATCGGACATGGGGCTGGGTGGGCCCAGGGGAGCTGAGCGGTGGTGGCAGAAGTGGGATACCGGTCCGGGTCAGCTTTGTGGGAGCTGAGCTGTATCGGCCGTAATGACATACCAGGCTGGGTGTGGTGGCAGGGGTGAGTACTGGATTGGAGGGTCTAGGGGAGCTTTGCTGTGGTGTCAGCGGTGGGATGCTGGTCTGTGTGTGGTGGCAGCAGTAGGATCCCAGGCTGGGTGGGCCTGGGGACTGAGCTGTTGTGGGATACTGGGTTGGGTGGGTCTAGGGGAGTTATGCTGTGGTGGCAGCAGTGGGATACCTGCCCCGAGGGGGTTAAGGGGCCTGATCTAAGGACTGCGTGGAAGAAAGACAACACCAGGCCCTGTTCTCGCCCCCAGACTATGGAGCAGCTGACTGATCACCACTACGACACACTGACGGTGCCGGACGACCCCGCCGGGAACTGCATTTACGTGAGGCTGGGGCCCAAGGGCAGCGCCCTGCTGCATCGCAGCCCAGAGGAGTTCCCCAACAGCCTGCAGGTGAGAGGGCGGAGCTATTGGGCTGCTGGGGGTGGAGCTATAAAAGCTTTGTTGACTAGAAAGTGTATTGGCCTGATTTCAGAGGGAGGGGGGAGGCATTGGCCAGTACTTAGGGTTGGGGTGGAGCTTGCAGCTGTGGGCAAGGCAGGGGGTGGAGCTTGGGGCAGGAGGGTGGGGCTAGGAATGGATGGGGGCGTGGCCATGGAGGAGGAGTGGGGATGTGGCGATTTGGAGGCAGGGGAAAAAAGGATATATTTGGACTGAGGTCAAGATGGACATAGGAGACGGA